AACAGAATATTACATGGGCGCTTGAAGATACGAAATTTATCTTCTCGTGTTGGAAATCTCTCACTCGTTCGCTGCGCTCACTCGTGAGAGATCTTTTCAACACTCGAAGATAAATTTCGTATCTCCGCGCGCCCATGTAATATCCTCTATTTCTTTGATTTTGGAATGGGATTTTTTGTGTGTTCTTCCACCACAAGCTGAGATAAAAAATGGACATTTAATGTTTTTGACAAAAGTAGGAGCATCACGCCAGGCTCTTTAAAATATCTATCAAAGTAAAAACAAAGCATTTGAGGGTCATAAATACTTACTTTTTGTTATTTTTCTCCGAAGGTTGCAATGAGATTCGTAATAATCCTAACTTCACCATATGTCACGACTCGGTGGATCCAGACGAGTACGTCAAAGCTTGTGAATATGAATCCTGTCTTTGTCACGAAGGTGGTGATTGTGCCTGTTTCTGTTCAGCTGTAGCTGCTTATGTTCGGGCCTGTAATCGCTTTGGAATATCGATCACTTGGAGACGTGAAGGATTTTGTGGTAAGTTTTGGTTGTTTCACTTTTTACACTGCTTTAAGTTTAAATATTAATATGTACATCCTATAACTTTCTGGCCGGTCTAGTAAGTTTTTACTTTTTTTTTTAGAATAGGCCGTGGCCATAACTGCATCACAACATTCTTTTTGGCTTGTAGGTTGCTCGTGATATCTATATGGTCTTGAAGAAAATTACTAAACATTTTTTAAATCTTGTTTTTAGAACTTCCTTGTTGCCGTCCTTGTAAAAATACTGGAGGGTATATTGCTAACAATACAATACCACACACGTGCGAACAAAATCCTCAAGACTGTTCGAAAGTAGGAGACCGATGCTGCAGAGGTGCAAGAGTTGAAGGTTGTTCTTGTCCAAATAACACATTCTTCGACGGTAAAAAATGCGTACCACTGAACGAAACTTGTGAGAATCCATGTTCGTCAACAAGTACGATTAGTACCATTAGTAGTACTACCGTTGTCTCTAGCACTTCCCTCACGTCAAGTGTCTCAACAACGATTATCTCCTCGTCAACGATCAGTACCCCAACAATCAGTACAAGTCTTTCCTCGACTATTTCTTCTTCTTCAACGACCATTTCTAGGTAAGTTTTACAACCCAGATTTTTTTATTGTTTCTGTAAAATATCGTCTTTAAGAATTATAAATACGAAAGATGGTAGTCCGTTCAAACGAAAAATGATATTAGTTAGAGGTAAGAAACGTTCGAGGGCATCGAAAAACTTGAAGAGCGTTTGATAATAAGGTAAGAGCGTACAAAAAAAATATCAAATTGTTGAAAATGTAGTAAGTATTGAAAAAGGAAAAGTGGATTTGAATTGGTGGCGACATTATGGCTCAGCCTGATTACAGTAAGTAAACAAATTAATACACATTCCTTTAAATTTGGGTTAGCTCATCCAGTGGAATTGTCTCATCTTCATTCTCACTGATAACACCTTCAAGTTCAACGCCAACCCTCACAACTAGTTTTGGAACAAGCTTCCCTTCAACTAGCTCATC